CCATACAGCTGAATAACTTCCACTCAAATCGCCTTTTTCAATGAAAAGAAATTTAACTTGGTGGTTCTGACTGAAGCAAGTACTACTGACGCGACTTGAGGAAGGAACCACTCTACTGAAGGAGTCTACTTCAGCCGTCGCAATTTCAGTGGAGGAAGTCTTATGGTGTGGGGTGCATTCTGCAATGGTTTCGTGTTGGATCTAGCCTTGGTGAGCTGCAGAATGTATTCCAAGGAATACCAGAACGTCTTGAAGCATCATCTAGGCCCCATACTAAGCCGTTGTACAACGAATGAGTGGCTGCAATGCCAAAACATAAGCGCCCTGCCGTGGCCCTCCTGCAGTCCCGATGTCAATCCGATGAAAAACATCTGGGGCATAACAGTCAGACAGGTTTATGCGAATAACCATCAGTTCCAGGGCACAGTAGGGCTGAAGTGGGTGATTATCAAAGCATTGAGAGCAATAGATGAGGACCATCTTCGAAACTTAGTTTCTAGTATGCCACGTAAGCTCATTGATGTTGCTCTCAGACATTTAGGAGCTATAGATTATTAACCGTTGTACATATGACATAAACATTGGTAAATCATTCACTTTCTCAGGGTGGCCTTATAATTATGAAAAGGAGTAAAAACCGCCACTATCTTTGAAAATTCATAAAAGAGTTGAGGTGAAGGGTGTTGCGACTTAAATTAGAATACGGAGGTAAATTGTGATGAAGAATCTGCCGGGGTTTGAAGGAGAATTCCAATTAAATTCAAAATTCCAATTCAATTCCTGACTGCTTTCTTCAGAATCGCAAAAATCGTGGGCGACCTTAAAATTATGGAACGCACTGTATTCTTCCGCCTAGAACCACTCGAAGCACAGGTGAAGTCACCTACCCCTTCTTCTCTACACTCAATCCCTCAGTTTTTAAAAGCGATGCCCTCCTCCTCCCCCNCCCCCCCCCCCCCCCCCCCCCCCCCCCCCCCCCCCCCCCTCATCAACTACATTTTCTAACTACTTGTGTAAAAATAAAGTATGAGGTGCAGCGTAAGCCGGGCGACCCAACTGGTGTTAGTATTACAAGGAACTAACTCAAATAAATTCAACGAAACGTATTGCGCCGTGTTACATCAGGGACATGTAAGTTTTTAACTAACATAAGCTGCACCGTGGTGGGCAAATTCTCTTTTTTTTTCATTATCTTCGCACGAGGTAATCGTCCCACCCCTCAGGTACTCCTAGCCTACCTAGCCTCACCAGGGAAGGGTCCCAAGTCGAAGCGGCCGTTTGGAATGAGACCTGTACAGCTAGACATATTTTGCCGATGCCGATCTTAAATGTGTTTTCTAAATTTTGCTGAGCAATTCTCTGAACGGAGCTATGAGGTGATTTTGGGTGAGGCCTAGCATGAGCGAACTTGAATTACATGGATGTGACGGGTCTACCAGCGGTGGCTTGGATCAGTGTTAAGAGTGGCACTAAGTGTGCGAGGCAAGTTGCTGGGGAGGCAAGGATTCTACATTCCGGGGAGGATTTTTCTTAAATGTTGGTTTTATCGCGTTCTACGACCTTCGATGGTTGTGGTGACAACGTATTCGTCCAAACCATCGAATATCGCTTCAATTTTCCTTCATGTTTGTTCACGCTGTATTCGCAGTGGGGCGAATGCGGTGGATTAGGAGGGCGCACCATCACACACGTATGGTCCGGGCATGGAACTTTGTCGGGTCAACCAAGCCTTCCATCTCTCCGATTAATCGGTACCAGACTCTTATGGGTGGATGAAATCACTGACCCGTACATTGCATGGCCACCGCATAGGCCATATACACATTCTACACACCACTATGCATGTAGTACATAGAGGCGTGAAGAATGCGTATATGGCCTATGCGGTTATGTAGTTTAACTAGTGCGGGGCGCACTGCACATGCATACATATTACTTACTTGGATTACTTGGCGACCCGTTGTCAGCTGCGATTGCTCGTGCGCGGGTGCCAACTTCTTTTCCACGATTTTCCATCTTGAGCCAATGTTGTCCAGTGGACTGATACCTTAATTGAATTAGAATCGCAGATATTGTTTCTGTGAGCAAGAGAGACTTGCCATCATGGAGGAGGTCGGCCACGAGGCCGTTTCTTCTCGCGAGGTTCCCAGCACACACTTGTTGTACTCCAACGACCGTCATCGCGCCTTATCAGATGTCCAGCAAAGGTGAGTTTTGCTTTGTTGATGTGCAAATAATATCGCGAACTTTAGACAACGAACGTATGTCTTCGTTGTGCAGCCTGTTGAGCCGTTGTTGATGCAAGGTTATCCCGACCATTCGACGCTCGAGGGATATTTGTATCCTTCGTAGCTGGTTTTCCAATTTTTTCGTCAGAGACCAAGTTTCGCTTGCGAAGCTCAGGGCTGGTAGCACCGTGGAGTTAAACAGGGTTGCTCGCAATTCGTCGTCCCTATTATGCTCGATTACCTTACTGATCGAGTTATACGCAGCCCAGCCGGCTTTTTTCCTTCTCATCAATTCGCTCTTTAGG